CCGAGGTTCAGGCCCAGGCCGAGGCCGCCGAGTAGGTGCCGAGTAGGCTGAGAGATTACAGCGGCCGCCCCGGGCACATCCACGCGGAGGCGTCCTCCTCCTCCGGCGGGTCGACGGAGACCCGGACGGGCATGGGGCTCGTCATGCGCTCGAGGTGGACGTCCACGACGGCCGCGCTCGTGCGCCGCCGCGTCGGCGACGGGGGCCGCGCCGCGCCCGGGTCGAGGTGCGCGCCCTCGGCCTTGGTCTCGGCCCCGACCGCGACGGCCGGCCGCGCGCCGGAGAAGCGGCGGACGCGCCGCTCCGCGTCCTCGAGGTCCTTGAGCGCGCCGTCGAGGCTCCGGTTCGAGTAGAAGCGCTCGAGCTGGCGCTCCTTCTTGCGCAGGAAGTGGACCGCGAGGGCGACGACGAGGGACGCGAGGGACAGCGCGATGGGCCCGAGCATCTCCGCGACGCCCATGGACTCCCGGGTCGAGTCCGGGGCCTCGGACGCCGCCCAGGGGTCCGCGGCGAGCGCGCCCGCGTGCTTGTCCCAGTAGGCGTCGTAGAGGCTCTCCTCGATGATCTGGCGGACGTAGTGGGACACGGGCTTCTGGTAGAGGTCCGCGACGGCGAGCGCCTCCGGGTAGCTGAACGCGGGCCGGCCGACGAACTGGTACGCGTCGAGGTTTTGGGCCTCGTTGACGTCGAGCGTGACGTAGTCGCTGTAGCTCAGCATGATCGCGTCGCAGTCGCCCGCGGTGAGCCTGGCGTAGTTGGCCGCCGCGGTCCACCCGCCCTCGACGCGCCGGAGCGGCGACGCCGCGAAGATTTCCGCCGCGTAGGCCCAGGTCTGGGAGTGGACGCACACGGAGCAGCGCGCGGCCTCGCAGGCGGCGATGGAGTCGATCTCGAGGTCGTAGGCCGCGTCGTCGCTGAGCATGGCCGCCAAATTCGCGGTGTAGAGCGTCGTCGCGACGAGGACGAAGAAGCCGAAGAAGCCCTTGACGAAGCGCTGCGCGAGCGCGTCGCCCGCCTCGTCGGGCGCGCTGTCGACGCCCGACGACATGATGCTCATCAGCGTGCCGTAGACCTCGCGCGACGCGTGGTTTGCCATCTCGCGCCGGTCCGCGCGCGATTCGTCGCCGAGCGCGCCGTCGAGCGTGAGGTACGACGTCACGAGGCCCGTGCAGGCCTGGGCAGCACAAGAGTGATTCAACGTCGCTTCAACGTGAGTGTGCCGCGCGCGCGCGTTCCAAAAACAGCACCCACGCTTCGAGACCGTTCCGAGAGATGATCGCTCGTCC